GGGGGGGGAAGGATTCGGAGCAAAGGCTGAAACCGGGAAGAGAAAAATTCCCAAAGAAAATCGCACGAGCAGCATCCCATTCCTGGGAGAAAAACAAAAAAACAAAAAACACGAACTCTTCCCGAAGCACAAAAGCAAGGATGGCGCTTTCTCAGCTTTGAGCTGCGTCGCTGCTCTCCCACCCCCTCCACTCGTCCCCACGTGCGGCGAAGTTTCTGCCACTGGGGGGGGTGGAGGGGGATGGAAGGAGGTGAGGGATGGGGGCAAAGCCTGGAGCCTGCCTGTCCGCTCACACGAGCGGAGTGGGTGGGTGGGGGAGGAGGAGGAAGAGAGACTCCGGCTGGGCTTGAAGGGGCTTCGCAAGTTGCGGAGCTCCGCCCCCGTCGCTCTTGCACCGAGTGACAACAACGTATTTGCCGGCGTATAAGACGACCTTTGTTATATACTCGCCGTATAAGACGACCCCCCCACTTGGAGGCATGTTTTTCAGGGCAAAAAAGTCGTCTTATACGCCGGCAAATACGGTAGTTTGGATAATGAAAACAACCAAACCAGAGAGCACCAAGCACCTTTCATTTCAACCCTGAGCTACAAGTATTTTCTTCTGTCACTATCCTCTGATATGTTTGGAATCTTCCACGCTCTGTTTCCATCTAAAAGCACGAATCACTACATACAGTAATCGGCAGTAAGACCAACCACTTTCTCTCCAGTCTTTAACATCTTCCCTTGAAACTAATATACCACTTCAGTTGACCTAATAAAGACAATGCCTCTTTACATTTTGGGGCTATTTCCCCTGGAATTGTAATCAGTGAAGTTTGTATTTATGTGTTTTATTTTGTTTCAGTTATGTCCACTTTTAAAACCTTAAAAAGCACAGCTATTGAGTGTGGATTTTTTTTATATTTCAGATACTATCTTAGTTTTTTTTTAAATTAAGATTATAGCCATCCCTGTAAAATTTCTCAAACTAATCATCTTCTCCCCAAGAAGTTGTTGAGTGAATCGCTGCAATTGTTAAGTTAGTAACATGGTTGTTAAGTGAATCTGTCCTCCCCATTGACTTTGCTTGTCAGGTCACAAAAGGGGATCATATGACCCCAGGACCCTGCAACCGTCATAAATATGAGTCAGTTGCCAAGCAGCTGAACGTTGATCATGTGACCATGGAGATGCTGCAACAGTCATAAGTATGAAAAACAGTCCTCACTTTTTCAGTGCTGTTGTAACTTTGAACAGTCACTAAATGAACTGTTGTAAGTCAAGGACTACTTGTAGAGTCGCCCCTTGGAAGCTCTGTAGATAAGGAGAGGACAGGAAATCACCTACATGTGATCTGGATGGCACTTTCCCCTGTCCTCTGGTTGTCTGTGGGTTTGAACACTAGGAAACAATGGGGTGTATAATCTTGCTCATAACCGCAATAGACTTTTAAAGGACACTAATGCAAACCTCACTTCCTAATCTTTTTTTTGGAATTTGCTCATTGATTATTCTAAGGTATTAGAAATCTTAGAATGAAAATTTAGGAAATGTTGGGTGGATCTGTCTTTAATTCTGAATGATAGAAAAAACTAATTAAAAACTTATATAAACTTAATAATTTAAAGAATCTGAAATAAACAGCAAAAAGCTAAATAAGATTTTTGATCTCAAGAAAATTATAAACTAAGGATCATGATAAAATTGAAATATTGAAATATTTACAATAAGATTTTGGAATTAATTATAAAGTATAAATAGCTTATGGGAAATAAATCCTCTTTTGGTTTTTAGAAGACCTAAATATTTTCATGATTTCAATAGGTGGACACTAGAGGAACTGAATAATTTAATTAGAGGAAAGATATTCAGGTCTGAAAGGGCTGCAAAATGGATGACAATAAAAACAGGAGACTTCTGAAGAATGGAATCAAAAAATAGTAGCCAAAATATCAGCATTGTCAGTAATAACATCTGCTTCTATGGATTATGTACAAAATAAGTTATTAAAGAAATGTCAGCTGTAAAACAAATCTTATCTGACAAGATAGAGATGGCGAAAGTGAATTTAAACTAACTAACAAGGAGATCGTTTAGAAAAGGTCTATTGGTTAAGGCACCAGGCTAGAAACCATGAGACCCTGAGTTCAAATTCTGCCTTAGCCATGAAAGCCAGCTGGGTGACCTTGGGCCAGTCATTCTCTCTCTCAGCCCAATTCACTCACAGGGTTGTTGTGGGGGGCGGAAACAGGAGAAAGGATTATTAGGTAAGTTCACTGTCTTGAGTTATTTGTAAAAATAATAAAGGCGGGATACAAATAAATACATAAAATACATTAATAAATGTTCCAGTTGGTCTACAAAAGGAAGTGGCTCAGGTATTAAAATTTAAAAAGGAAATACAAATAACAAACCAATAGAGTGACCTAGATAATGTTTTTCCTATTAGAGTTACTGTTAAATATTTGAAGAATCTTTGTTTAAATTTAGTTTATAGTCGATTTTTCTATTATAAATATATAATGTATATTTTATTATACACATAGATATGAAAGAGAGAAAGAAAGAGAGAATGAACACACTTATATTCCAAGCATGGTATAATTCCAACTTGCAGAGAAAAAAAGTGTTAAAATTTATACTACTGTAGTATCTAGTATTCTGTCATTAAGACTCATTATATGGTTTTGTCTGATTATACAAATCTCACACCAACTTTGTTTTTCCCATATATATTTCACTTTATAACATCAAATCTGCTAGGTGAAATTTGAAGAACAAAAATGCAAAAATCCCTGAGCATTAAGCATGTCTGTTACAGATCCACTCAAATGATTGAACTTTCTTTGCACTTTTAATCCTCTCTACATTTCCTAACACCTGTTCAAGGTCTCTGTACAATCTGGCATTGCAAATGATCTTAGGTCAAGAGGTACAAACCAAGTAACAGGATGAGTTTTCACCAACATTGTTTGGTGAAACAACATGACAGTTTGCCAGTTACACAGAACTCCTTAGCAAAACAAACAAACAAAACCTCGATCTTTTGCTATAAAAGGGTATTATAAAATAAAATTTATATTAAAATAATCAGTAATTTTATAACACCTAGTTCAGTAAATATATAGCCCCTTTTGTATTTATGGAAAAATGTAGATTTATAAAACTATGTCAAATTCATATAAAAACAAACTACTATAACCTAATATTAAGAGAAACCAAATAGCCTGAAATTGTTGCTGGATTACAAAAAAAATTAGGATGACCAGAAGAGGGCAGCAAAGATTAGGGGTTTTTTTCCCCATATCACTTTGCTGCCTTCTAGTGATAATTTGATTGCTTGCAGCCCTACCTTTTGTTCTTCCCATATATACTTTTTACCTTACTAAAAATTGCACTCAAGCAAGTAGTTACCCTCGTATTTTTCATCTGAACAAGAGCAGAGGCTCCTTCCCCCGTTTCAAAAGGGAGGAAAATCCCCGTGGCCTGTGGGCTTCTACCGAGTCCCGCGAAGACGGCGGACTTACTTCTCGTAGTCCAGGCGGCAGTAAAGCTTCTGCTCCCGGTAGAAGCAGCTGCTTTCCAGGGGTTCTCGGCAGGAGGCGCAGCGCACGCACCGCTCGTGCCACAGGCGGTCGTTGAGGCGCAGCAAGAACCGCTCCGCGATGACGCCTCGGCAGCCTTCGCACACTGAGCGCGGCCTGGCGGCTCTCCCTGCAAAGACCCAGAAGGACGTTGACCGTCGCGCCAGCCGTCGCCGCCCCGCCCCGCCCGCCCCGCTGATCCAAGATCCAAGATCCAAGTTCTTGGAAATGTCCCGCTAACCCTTTGGACAAGTTTCTCGGGCGTTGTATTGCCCTGCACGTCTCCGATTCGTTTTAAACGTTTTGGGTTCTCTTGAAGGGTGGAACCAGAGAGATACCCAGCTTGGGTGTCCTATTGCCAACCATTCGGCCAGCCGTGCTTTCCCTCTCCTCCTTCCAGGTTTTTCCGAATAAAGACACTCGAAACCAACATTAGCCTCCGAAATAAAGCAAATTGGCCTACGCTTACAACTACGACAGGCCCGCCTTAGGCCCGTTTGCCCCATAAGGCCGCCTTTTCCCAAACATTATTTGAGGGGGGGGGATTGTGAGCCCCCGCCCCAAGGGAAACCCTACTGCCTCCTGTTCTGGTTTGCCTCAGGCTCAGGAGGGTTTCGCCATTCCTCCCTTTGAGATTAAGGTCACTTGGTAAAGCGTTGCATAGAGGTGGCCATTGCCATTATAACCAGGGAAACACCCTTTCCAGGCTGTCCCGCCGCAACAGTGGATTCTTATAAGTGGCTGGTTTTGAGTTGCGGGACGAAGTGGCACCCTATCGTCCGCCCTGAGGCTTGGCCTGGAGGACCAAACCCTGGGAAGTCACGAGGCTCGCTTCCACGCCATGGCCGCCCTAACTTTAAACCGATCTCCTAACTCTTCTTTCGGGGAAGAAATGTGAAACTGTCTCTCAAGGCTTACAAGCCACTATTGCCTTTTCTTCCTCTCGGTATAATATATGATATTGAACTGTTTTCCTTGCTTCTTTTGCGTTGGTCATTTTCTCTAGAAATAGAGGTGCATTCCCCTCTCCCTTTCAATTCTGATTTTTATTGTTTGTTTTTTTAATTTTAGTGAGAGGCTCTCTTGTAAAACTCTGGCATCGGTGCGATTTCCCCCGTTGATGTCACAAAACCAGCTTTCGAGTTGCTTTTCTATTTGTATTTCAGATGGTGACCGACTAGGTGCCCTGGACGGAGACGCTTTTGTTGGGGGGAGGGGCGGCGTTAAAGAGACGTTCCGGCGCTGGAAGAGCGAAGGCAGAACTCGGTATTGGCCATTTGAAGCACAAACGGAAGAACGAATGATTTTGTTTTCTATCTCTTCGTCTGAAAAAATATATTTGTATCCACTATGAAATAATTATTTATTCAAAATAGTTAAATCCTGCTTTTCTACTCAAAAATATCAATTTTGATTTAGGGAAACCGGCTGCTTTCAAATGAACAATTAGAAGCATTTTTCCCCCCTGAACTATCTTTATTTTTTTCTTTTATTTTGGAGTGGAGAATAAAAATTTAAGCAGTAAAAAAGGAGGAATTAAAAAGAAAACTGGACCCGTTCTAATGCAACCCTAACCTTAAAGACTTGCTAGAGCGGCTCACTATCATTGCCCGGTTTTTTGTCTTATTGTGCCTTGTAAGCCGCCCTCATAAGGAATGAATCCGCTGTGTATCTTCAGAAGAGCCTTCCAAAGCGCATCCACAGGGAAACAACGGCGCCGAGGCTCTGAGCAATCCCTTTCAAGCCTGCCTCAAAACCTGCTCTTGAAACAAATCTGGAGAGAGGGCTTTACTTACTTTTATTAACTACAATAGTTATGATCTGTCCAATCCGACCCCCTTTATGCTCAATTTAAATGCTGAGATTTGTTTTCAATTATAATTGTCTTTCACACATAATGCGTTAGTTTAATCGTTAATTAACGATATTAATTAGAACAATCGGTACATGTAGTACATGCAAGCACGCATATAAGTATCTGCTAATTATTATATTGTATTTTCTTATCTGTCTGTTGGGCTGAAGTCACTTCAGTGCCAGGTAAATCTTGAAGTCGTGTTTTCAAACTGCTAAAGGGAGCAGTTGTCTGTCCTTTTCACACACGCGCGCGCAAGAGAGACACCCCGGATTTCTCTTTTTCTCCCCCCCCCCCCCCACAACATACATTTGTTTTCCTGGGGGTGGCTTTTGAGGCAAAACCGGCTAATATATATATACTCCTGCTCCACGATCGCATCTAGCTGTCGGCTTCTCTGCCGATTTCACGTGCGAAGAGGTGTCGAACGCACTTGGCCTGCCTCTCCTTCTTCTTCTGGAGGCTCCTTCGTTGAGGAGAGCAGAAGGGCCTGCCCTCAAGCTCTACAAAGGAGAAGGAGACCCGCAAACCGTCGGGGACGGCCAGGCTCAGAGACTCATCCCAAATCTGGCCGTGGTCCGACCCTACTGCCGGTACTTACCCAGCATCGGGGTAGAGAAAGAGGGCGGCGGCGGGGGCTCCAAGGCGTCCTGCAGAATTTCCTCCATTTTCAGGCCGCCCAGTTTGACAAGAGAGAAGGCGAAGAAAAGCGCTCCGATTCCGCTTGCGGAGAAGAGAAGAGGTCGGTAAGACAAGGAGTCCCCTAAACGGTTTCCCCGCAAACCTCCCCGTCTGCACCGCAGCGGGCCCTATTCGAACCTCCAAGGGACAGTCCCGGTCCGGCTACAGACCTGCGCTCCTTTTGCCTCCCGCAGGAGCTTCTGGCGCTTACCTGCCGGCCGGAGTGGCCCCGCGGCGTCAAATCTAAAACAACCCCTTTCTCGAACGGCGGCGCAGAAAGGGCTTAGCATCGCGCCTTGGCCGGGAAGCCCGCGGGCTCTCCCGAAGGCGGTTAGAGCCCCGTCCTTGCGCCTGCCCAGAGCTCTGGCCGCCTCTGCTGTGCTTCCTGCCCTCTGGGCGGGTCCCTCCGTCGAAGGACAGCGGGTTCTTTCGTCGGGGACAAGCGAGAGGCATCCCTGCCCCAGCCCGTGCCTTGTACTACTCAGGTAACCTCGGAGAAGGGCCGGAGACAGCGGGGGCTTTTCCGCGGCGCCGAGGAAACGGGGTCAGATGTCAGGGGCAGGAAGGGGTGGTCCTTGGCCCGCAAGCTCGGTAAACGGGAGGAGCAGCGCCACTCCCGGCCGAGGGGAGGTGGGGGTGAGGGTCGGGGCTTGGCGTGCCCAGATACCAGCTTCACACCTTACAAGGAAGAGGGAGCGAAAGCGACTGCGATGACGTCGCTCCACTGGACCTACCTGGTCTCAGGATCAAATCTTCGCGGTACTTTTCCGATTTACAGTACTTGGGTCGAGGTTTTCTTCTACCGTCTACCTGCTGCTTCAGGTCAGCCGGCTAGCCCGGCCTGGGGCAGGTTGGGAGCAATCTCATAAACGCGCGTTTCTTTCCGCTCAGTTTCCCTTCGGGCTAACTCTCGTCTGCCGGCAAGTCTTCCGAAAGAAATCCAGACTCAGGCAGAGGTTTTCGACCCGCCGCCTACTTAACCTGAAATTGACTCGACGCCCGGACGATTCCATAAGGGGGGGGGGGGGGGGAACACAAGGGGGTCAAAAAAGCCCCCTAAAAAAAAAGGGCGCCCACCCCCCCTTTTGCCCCCCCCCCCCCCCCCCCCATCTCGGAAGCCACACGTCCAGCCCGCTGCGCTGCGCGGAATAAACTTAAGAAAAGTTCTCCTCTGGCCTTTCCCCTTCCCCCAAATGACAGGCAAGATTATTAACCTAGACATGAGTGAACAACCAAACTCCAAGGATAAAACCTATATTCCTTTTTTATCAGTTACCCAGGGAAATTGTTTCCGAAGTGAAGCCCTGGAACAACGCCTAGTCCCACAATACCGCCCGCCTTGCCTATTCTGACCCCTTTGGTGCCGCCAGGATTTCGTCGGGGACAGACACACAAGTGGGATCGAGCCTTTATGCCCTAATTTACCGCTTTCCCCTGACGTAAAGTTTCGGGACACTGAAGTCATTCCGCCCGCTATCCCAAATATCACCTCGGCGGTTTCACCTGCAAGGTGGGACGAGCGCTTTGTCTCGGGCATCATCTGATTAGTTTGGAAAAGGAGTCTGAAGACACACAGTTGACTACCAGCGATTCCGGGGAAGCTGCTCTCTTTCTCTCTCCCCCACCCCCGCTCCAATTCTGCTTGGCATTTCGGGATCGCTTGCTGGTCGCGCCAGACCGAACACCAAGCGTAATAAGGACACCCCTTCGCTCTGGCTCCCTTGGAGGGAGGGCAGCCGGACAGGTTCGCTCTCCAGGCATTGCAGATGTGGCCCCCAGTGTCCCGAGGGGCGTCTTCTTCACAGAATGATTTGACAGGAAGAAATGGGAGACCTTTGCACCATCGGGAAAGCTTTCCCAGGCCTGGCCTGACCAGATGGGTCGGGTCTGAATCGTCTGGAAAGCACTCTAGAAATCTCCTTTGGTATGACCGATGGATCTCCTTTGGTGATGTTTATTACCACCCAGCTGTTTTGGCCGTTCTACAGACCCTCAGCAACTTTCCTGGCTGCCCACTGCCTGTTTTACTAAACGGTGAGGGCCTTTTCCCTTCTAAGTGGGTTTGGTGGAAGAATGAAGCACAGGCTTTAATATCACCCAGTACCTATTCCAGTAAGAAAACTGTTGGCTTCTAAAAGATCTAAGGTTTTCTGTCCAAAATGCTCTTGGTATTAAACACCTTTTAAAAAATCAATAAACACAATGATTGGTTTTATATTTCAGGATGTCATGTACCCTTTCAGCCTTTTCTAATCAGGTCTTCTGCAGATGTCTGGGAGCTCCCAGAAACCCCACCCGATATTATAAAATGGGGTTTAGGGATCCCCAAACCATCGGAGAGGGCTTGGCTGGGAAAAATATGATATTCTCATTATATTCATAGAATAGTAGTAACAAATATTGCAACTGAGGGGAACAAACAGAAGAAAAAGTTGAACTTCACTGTATTTTAAGCAAATGTTTGTGGATAAAAAAACACAAAATAAATCTGTTTAACAGAAAAGATTTACTGGAATCCAGAACTTCTCTGATGTTCTGTGCAATGGAATTTAGAAGATTAAACTTGAAAGTTAAGTAATTAGTAGTGCTTTTGGTTCCAGTGAATTTTTGCTGTCTTATGTCCAATAAATGTTTAGATCTAGAAACGGAAAAAATAACCTGCTATTGTTTAAGGTCAAAATAGCTATTAGAACACTGTATGCTGAACAGCATATTACACACAGGTAGTCTTTGTTTAGTACCTCAATTGGGACCAGCAACTCGATTATTAAGTAAAATGTTCACTAAGTAAAACATCACAATTTTACAATTGTACTTCACCTTTCCTTTGCTTTACAGGTCTGCAAAGGTTATAAATGTGACAACTGGTCATAAAGTTACTTTATCATCAGTGTAAATGTGAATGGAATATAATATTTCTTCTCCAGCCCTGTCTCCTCTAATTGTTTGTGGCAAGAGCTCCCTGAATCCCATTTAATAATATTGGCTAGTTAGCAGAAATGAGCTAAAGGAGGACCACCTGTAATTTCTCTTGGCACTGGGTCATCTACTGTGATGCCCCCAAACTTTTCTTTGTGGCAGAGATGGGTACAGCTGGGAGCCAAAGGGAGTCCTGAATGAAACCTGGGATGATAGAACTTGAATGCATCCAACTTTCTTCCTCTTCTTATATATACACAGCTGCTTCAATTACCTGTGAAGAAACCCAATTAAATTAAGTAAGTTTTAATAAATCTGCTGGGTTATGCACTGAGAATATGTTTTGCCTTTGATGAACATAAATAATGCAAGAAATTGAATCTCTATTACATTTGCTCCCTCTGTGGAATATAAATAACAACAAAAACAAAATGTAATTTCATTATCACTAGGTTAGGTTCACACAACAAAATAGACTAGACAGAATTAAACTGGACTGTTTGAAAGATAATATCCTCCTATGGACATGGTAAACCCATTTGTTTGGGGTTAACAAGTTATGTATTATGTGTTTATTAACCTGGATGTACTATAGGAAACCAGCCTTGGTAATCTTTACCTTTCATCCTGGGTGGGATTCAAATTTCTGAACAATCGGTTCTGTAGGCATGGCCTAATTTGTGGGTGTGGCTTGGTGGTCATGTGACTGGCTGAGCATGGCTTGGTGGTCACATGACATAGCTGGCTGGAGAATGCTGGGAATTGAAGTCCACAAGTCTTAAAGTTGCCAAGTTTGAAGACTTCTGACTTAAATCTTAGTATAACACCCATATATTTAAAGCCATTAAACATCTTGGATTAATCTTGAAACTTTTTACATACTTGTACTTAAACAGAAATAATTTTGTTTTAACACATATGGCTTCAATTCCAAAGCTACTTTTTATGAAGTCAAGAAAAGTCAAGAAAAGGAGATTGGAAAGAAAGCAAAGGTTAACCTTCTCATTCTTTCTAACCCTTTCTAAATGGTTAGTAGAAGTGAGTCTTTCTTCTTGCCATTTTATTACCAATAATTTACCACCATCTTCAAATTAAAGAGTTGCCTTCCAACAACAAAAAACACAAGTTTGGAAACTGCCTGAATAGTAAACCAGCACATAATTTTGTATGTTAAATATCGAACCGCAAAGTGGAAGAAGGCACATATTTGTGAGAAATATTTACTGTGTTTTTTGCTTGTCAAATTTAAAAGGCCATTGGACTCCATAAAGATTGTGACAGCAATAGAAGTAATGAAGCAGCAGCTAGGCAAACTGCTGAATAGTCTGAATTATGCTTTGGAAATTGTGTAATGTATGCTCTGAAATTGAGCAAATGACTGAGACCTAAAGGTAAGCTGTTCTCTACAAAATCCACTCTGAACTCACCACACTAAGCCTGGCATGAAAAAGCAGAACAACTTACTAGTTTTGAAGAGGAGGATATGGAATAAAGAAAGAAGATTGGCTCCAACAGTTTTAGGAGACTACAAAATAGTTTTGTTTACCTGGAACATTCCCAAAGCAGTAATCAATACTGTATTAGCTCCAAATGTTCTTTTGGCTAAACACTGAATCCAGGCATACTGGATGGCTAGACACTCCCAGGAGGCTGCAGGGAGGCCTCCTAGGCCCAAGCCTCCCTGGAGTCTCCTAGGAGCAAAAACAGGGGGGCGGCATTTTCGGCCTAGCAAACCTCCCTGAACAGGGTTGCCATCTGGCCGTTTTTCCGGCCAAATTCGAGAAATCTGGCCGTATAGAAATCTGTTTGGCCGTGAAAAAAATCATGTCTCCAGCCAAATATATTTGGCCAGAAATTTGGCCGTATGAAAGTTGCTTGGCCATGAAATCGAAATTTTGGCCGAATACCGGTTTTCAATACAATATATTCGCATGAAAATGACTGTCAGATTGTCCTTGGCCCCCCCTGAGGAAAAAGTTTATAAACAAGGGCCTCTGCCAGGCATCGGGCACGTGACTTGGAAAGAAGGGGCGGGCAAGGGCGGAGGGAGCGAGAAGCGGCTGTGACAGTGGCGGCCCCTGGACTCCGCCCCCCTCGGCTCAAAAGGGGACCAATCAGCGCCATGAGGCTCCTCCGCCCGCGGCGCGTGATGTCCCCTCAACAGTCCTCCTCCTCCCCCCTCCCCCTCCGGAGGAGCACGCGTGAGCTCGGTGCGCTTCCTTGCTTGCGGGGCAGGGTCTTTTTCTTGCCCCGCCCACTCCTTGAACGCTGAATGCAGAAGTGTTCTGGTTTGCTGTGGTGGGAGCCTAACAGCTGCTTTGCAGCAATGGAGCGATGGGGGGGCTGCTCCTCTCTTTTTTTTTTCCTCTGG